TTCGAAGCACCCTCTGTACAACGACATCTAAATCCACCTGATGGCAATGCCAAGCCAGGTCGTCCGAGGAAGCAACGATTCAAGTCAGGATGGGAGCATAGGTCCAAAAATAGGTGCAGTAAATGTAACGAGAAAGGGCACAATGTTAAAACTTGTCGAAATCCAATAAAGGGATAAATTATATTAATGTTGTTGTATCAGTTTTATAATTTATTTTTTCTCAAGTAACTCGAACATTAAATATTAATTATTTAGAACGGCACTGTGCTAAGTGTATAATCTGTATATGTTAAGCATACGTGTTGGGTATAATATGTGTATGTCCTATATTTACTGAGACTGCATACTTAATATATACATATCCCAGTGCATAATAATTTAATATTCGTCGTATATAATAGTTGAAATTTTTTATATGTGTTACGTATTATATGCAGATCATGAACTTCTCTATACATATCGAATGCATTCAAATCCAAAAAACAAACTTGTCAGTTGAAATTTATGTATATGTGTTGTATATAATATGTACTGTAATATCTGAAATTGCAAATACTTAGAGAATGTGTTTGTGTATAATCTGTATATATTTTGTACCTTTTATGTATGTAAAATGTATATGTTCTTATTTGATGGGTATATTTACTGTATATTTGCAGTGTATTTTTTTTTTTTGTTTTTTTTTAAATACCGTATATATGAATTGTTCATATATATTTTTTGTACAGTTAGGGATGAAAAAATGAAACAATTTTAAAGCAGTGATTAAGTGAAATCTGAAAACTTAAAAATGACATAACATAAAATAATTCATCGAAAAAATCGATTAAGAATCTGTTAATACTAGAAAAGAAACGAAATGGATGCAAAATCTAATATTCCCGACACCAAAACAAATCCTACAATAATTATCATAAATCTTCAAAGGAGTCCGAACCGGATATCATCAGGCATTGTACCAGGAGATTCATCATCACTCTCCAAATCATGTTCATTCTTCAATAGGGCATGCTTATACAACAAATATCCGAGTCTAGTCCTCTCCATGGTGGCATCTATCTTTTTCCTCGTAACATCAACGCCTGCTATGAAATGCTCGGCGAACGATGCAACAAAGATACCGCAGTCACTGCATAGACAAATATAAAAAAAGGGCATATACAACATACACTCTTAATATACATAACATATACATAACATATACACATAATTTAATTGGGTGGATAAAAAGTACCTGTTCTGTTGTTGTGGCAGATCGGGAGCAATATTTATCTTCAGAGGTGAGTTCACGTCAAAATTTTCACGCCCATCCGCGTCAGTGTTACAAACAGGCCTCTTATCGAAGAAGTGAATCATACGTAGGAAAATAGGAATAATCTCGGCATAAGCTTGAACACTATCTAGAACGATCTTGTCAACGTCATCAGAGGATGGGACCGACTGAAATTTGCCGGAATCAGAGGATGGGTCGTCATTTTCCTGAATTTTCTTGCCGGGAATACTCCGATTGGTGTTGGTTTTCACTTTCTTCTCGAATTGCAATTTTTTTTGAACGAGCGTGGGTTTCCTGTGAGCTTGTATATTTCTGAGACGAGAACTCGATCTTCGATGTGGAGAGGACTCGGTGCCGGTTGATGGATTTCTTCCAATCTTTGTTTTTGCATTTTCTGAAGTGATTTGATTTCTTAGGGTTCTGCAGATTAGCGAAGAAAATATATGAACTGTAGAAGAAAAGAAGAAGAAAGAAGAAAGTGGGATATTTTTTGGGTAGTGGGATAATTCTCATCCCATGTATCTCGGGAACCGATTTTTTGTAATGATATAATAGCATTAATTAGTAGTAAAATTATTAACTGTCAATATGAGAGATCTGAACAAACTTCTAGTAAAACTGCAATTATTTTGAATAATGTTCGTATATATGCTAATAAATATACAAGGAAATTATTTGTGCAAATAGGGATTTATAAGTATGTAATTTTCTTTTCTCAATTATGTATCATAAGAGGCCGCAACAAAAAGCCTAATCATGAACTTCTTGCTGGGCCTTCTCTGTTGTTTTACATTACCACAACCACTGTTAAATACTGGGCTACAACTTTATATAAGCCCAAAGATTGAATCTCAAATTAGAACAATTCAAATATTTCAATAATTTGATACTTGTATATAATTAATTGTTTCTAATATTTCAATGGATATTATAAGGTTATTATTTTCGTTGGAATTTTTCAATAGATACCAGTAGAAATTCTAACAAAAATATTCTCTTGGAATTAATTTTCTATTAGAATCTATGTTGGATGACGATTTTGACGGTAAAAATAACAGTTGAAATTTGGGTAGAAATAAAATTCCAACAGTAAAAAACTATTTGAAAAGTAGCCGTTCAAATCGTCAAAATCCATCTAAAATTTTAATGAAAAAATTGATTTCAATGAAATATTTTTATTAATGAAAATATTCCTACGGAATCATTCCAAATGAAGTCATATTATTTGAATATCCCTTGAAATTTCCATTAAAATATATTAAGTAATATTTTTCATTTAAATATTGTATTTTGTTTGCAGTGATAAGTTAAATCCATCTTATAGAATATTTCAAAAATGAGAAAGAAATCCCCCTATATATAATTCTCGAATGCGCTGAGCCTACGTGGCTGTTTCTAGTGCTTCGGAGGCCTACTTGGCGAAGAATCATCCTTCGTAATTAGGTTTAGACAAATAATATTGATATGTTAATAATTATAATCTAGGTTCAGACATTCTATAAATATTATTAAGCTAACTTAGGTATTTTAATGTTACTTGTACTAATATAACCCTTTAATTTTTTATAATTTTACATAATGCGCACTAAGTGACTAATATATCCCTAACTTTTGATTTGCTTCCTTTAATTCTTTCATGATTATCCATAAGTATGTTGATTATTTATGGTCATGTTACATGTATTAATTGTATTTTAATATCTTTTACTATTATAATCACAATACAATAAAATTTGTTTTTTTTTTT